TGTGTTTGTGGTTGTCTGTTGTGGTTGTGCGCCGTAGTTATGCGTTGTGGTTGTGCGCTGTGCAATTGTCTTTGTGGCTGCGTGTTTGCGATTGTCTTTGCGCTTGTGTGTTGTGGTTGTGTGCTGTGGTTGTGCAAAAGTTCTAAATCATTTCCACCTCATCTTAAACTCAATTCTAATTCATTTCCAAATCAATTCAAATGAATTCAGTTCCACTTGAATTCTAATTCAATTCAAAACAGTTCCAATTCAATTCTAGTTCAACTCTACTTCATGTCTAATTAACTTCCAATTCAGTTCGAATTCAATTCTAATTCAATCCTAGTTCAATTCCAAATCAAGGCAAGTTCAACTATATTTCAATTCAAATTCAATTCCAACTCAATTTTAATTCAGTTGCAATCATCCAAGGCACCGAGAGACACGAAGCGCCGGAGCGCATCCAAGGCACAGAGAGACAAAAGGCGCGAAGCGACCGAGCGGAGCGACCGACCAACGACCGAGAGAACCAGTGAAGCGAAGACCAAGAAAAGAATAAAGAGGGAGGGACGCGAACGAGCGACCCCGAAACGCGACCGGGCGACCCGCCCACCAAGCCAAGGCACGCGCAGGCGCACACGGCATCCGAGCGAGACGATGCGAAAGCGGTGCGACGATCTGGTCGTTTCAGGGCTATAAAAACATACTCATCCAAAAAAAGTGTTCGCTGAATTGTGCTAAGTTAAATCAGCTCATTGCTTTGTTAACAGATTTCTTTATTGAATTCCATCTTCAATTTCTTGCACCTTAATTTGATCACTTGAGTTCACCACAGCTCCAAACCTTCTGACAACAATTCATTTCCTTTCAAAAAGACTAAATAAAAACCGTTGAAAGAATCAAAAGCACTCTGGAAAGGGTTCTCACCGGAAGCAATTCCAAGTAAATAATTCCAACTCATTTCCAAATAAAAAATAATTCAATTCCAATTCATATTCGAGTTCTAATCAAGTGTATTTGAAATCTCATTCAATTCTAATTCAATTTCAAATTCCGCCCTAATTCAATTCCAATTCAGTTCTATTTCAAGTCAAGTTCAAGCCTAACTCAACTCCAACTCAATTCTATCTTAATTCAAGTTCAGTTCAATTTCAATTTTTTCACTCAATCCCAGTTCAATTATGGTGCAATTCAATTCAATTCAATTTCAACTCGAACTCAATTCCAATTCAATTCGCTTTGAGTTCCAAGGCAATTCTAATTCAATTGCAATTCAATTCTAGCTCAAGTCTATGTTTAAATTCAACTCCAATGAAATTCTACATCAGTTCTCATTCCTAATCCAATTCTAATTCAAAACTAATTAAATCCAAATTTAATTCTAACTCAGTCCTACTTCAATTCTCATTCAAGTCAAGTTAATAATATAAACAAATTCCAATGAAAAAATGCCCTACTTCTTCCAATTGAAATCCAAGTCAAGTTTAATTCAGTTCAACGTCAATTGTAACTCAATTCCAATTCAATTCCACTACAGCTCCATTTCATTTCCAATCCAGTTTTGATTCAGTTCACGTTCGATTCTAGTTCATGCAATTCCAATGCAATTCCGACTCAATATTCTAGTTCATTTCAAATTTACTTCTAACTCAGTTCTAATTCACTTCTTTTCTAACTCAATTCCAAGTCAATGTTAAATGCCAATGAAATTCTAACTCGTTTCAAGTTCAATTCCAATTCATTCCTGAGTCAAAAAATATTCAAATCAAATTCAATTCACCATTGAAGCAAAGACCAAGACAAGGAAAAAAGGGAGCGACGCGAACGAGCGACCTCGAAACGCGGCCGGCCAGCCCAGCCACCCAAGGCACACGCAGGCGCAGGCACTTGTGTGAGATGCAGCGGAGCGACAAAGACGAGGGAGAGAAACGACGGAGCGAAGAACGAGGCGAAGCGAAGCGACCGCGCGGAGCGACCGACCAACGACCGAGAGAACCGGTGAAGCGAAGACCAAGAAAAGAATAAAGAGGGAGCGATGCGAACGAGCGACCCCGAAACGCGACCGGGCAACCCGCCCACCAAGCCAAGGCAGGCGTAGGCGTAGGCACCTGAGCGAGACGAAGCGAAAACGAAGCGACGATCTCATTCTGTCTTTGTGGGTCTGTGTTGTGATCGTGTCTCCATAGTGTTTGTGGTTATGTGTTTGTAGTTGTGTGCTGTGGCTGCGCAACAATTCTAATTCAATTCGAGTTCATTTCAACCTCAACTCTAATTCAAGTCTAAATGCAAATCGAATTCTATTCCAGTGAGATTCCAAGTCATTTCTAATTCAACTCAAGTTCAGTTCCAATTCAATTCTAGTTCAACTCTACTTCATTTCTAATTAATTTCCAATTCAATTCTAATTCAATCCTAGTTCAATCAATTCAAATTCAATGCAATTTCCACTATTATATTTCAATTCAAATTCAATTCAAACTCAATTCTACCTGGAGGTTCATCCTCCGAAGGAAAACTAGTGATTTCCGTTTTCAAGTAGATTTAGTGATTTTCATCGTTTTGGTGAAAAAGTCAACAACCCAGAACCACACAAAATCTCTGAAAAGATCCCACCAGGTTGCAACACACATCACACAAACACTACAGCTGCGCGAGCTCTATTTCCACTTCTCAGCGCTTCTTGGCTGCATGATTTAGTGATTTCTATGAGTTTTAGGTTGGGCTGGATTTTCCTGCAAGAAGTCAGCGATATAAGAGAAAAGCAGGCAAGCTCCTAAGTCCGCGAAGAATTTCCTGGAGATTGAGCCGACCAACGACCGAGAAAATCAGTGAAGCGAAGACCAAGAAAAGAATAAAGAGGGAGCGACGCGGATGAGCGACCCCGAAACGCGACCGGGCAACCCGCCCACCAAGCCAAGGCAGGCGTAGGCGTAGGCACCTGAGCAAGACGAAGCGAAAACGAAGCGACGATCTCATTCAATCCTAGTCAGCTTACATTAACCCTATAAATAAAGTGCGCCCTAAAAGGAGCTAATGAATATCCTGAAGCGACCAAACCCTAAATAAAGTTTACCCTAAGTAAAGGTAAAACATACTCCTCATAACAAAGCTGTCGCTGCATTGTGTTGAGTTAAATCAGTTCATTCCTTTGTTAACTGAAATCCATCTTCAATTTCTTGCACCTTCTTTTATCACTTGAGTTCACCAAAGCTCAAAACCTTCTGACGACAATTCTTTTATACAACAACTAATTTAAAACCACTGCAAAAATCAAAAGCACTCTGGAAAGGGTTCTCCCCATGAAGCCACCAAGCTCTAAAATAAGTGCACCCTAAATGAAGCTAATGACTTTTCCTGAAGCCACCAACTGAAGAAATTTGCTCACTCAATGGCAGTTCTCCCTCAGTTAGTTGCAATTTAATTCCAAATAAAATTCAACCAAATTAACTTATTTGAGTTCTAATTCAAGTCTATCTGATTTTTCTCATTCAATTCTAGTTCAATATTCTAATTCAGCACTAGTTCACTTCCAACTCAATTCTATTTCAAACCAAGTTCAAGCCTAACTTCTAAGATTCCAACTCAGCTGACACTCATTCAACCCCAGTTCAAGTTTCGTTCATAACTATGTCACTTCTAATTCACTTCAACTCAATTCAGATCCAAATCATTTCAGTTCTGTTTCAATTCAACTTAACCACCATTCAAGTCTCATTCAATTACAACTCAATTCTAGCTCAAGTTTAAATGATTTTAATCACTGGCGAGTCTAACTCATGCAAATCCAATTCAACTCTGACTCAAAATCCTAGTTCACTTCAAATTCAATTTCTTTGTCTGCTCCGTTTCAATGGTACTTCAATCGAAATTCAACTCTCACTTAGTTCTAGTTCAAAGCAAATTCAAGTCCAATTGAGTTCCAACTCAGCTCCATTTCAATTCAGTTCTAACTCATTTCTGTTCTAACTCAGTTCCAACTCAACTTGAATTCCAATTCAATTCTAAGTCAATTCTAGTTCAGCTCCAGCTCAATCCTACTTCAAAAAAACTCAATTCAAGGTCAAGTCTAACTCCAATTCAACTCCAACCCGCCAAGGCACCGAGCGACAAGAAGCGAAGTGACCGACCAACGACCGAGAGAACCAGTGAAGCGAAGACCAAGAAAAGAAAAAAGAGGGAGCGACGCGAACGAGCGACCCCGAAACGCGACCGGGCGACCCGCCCACCAAGCCAAGGCACGCGAAGGCGTCGGCACCTGAGCGAGACGAAGCGAAAACAACACGACGATCTAAGTCTGTCTTTGTGGCTGTGTGTTTGTGATTGAGTCTCTGCTGTGTTTGCGGTTATGTGTTTGTGGTTGTGTGCTGTGGTTGTGCGTTGTGGTTGTGTGTTGTGGATGTGTCTTCGTGGTTATGTGTTTGTGATTGTGTCTTTGTAGTTGTGTTTGTGGTTATGTGTTTGTGGTTGTGTGCTGTGGTTGTGTGCTGGGTTGTGTGCGGTGGTTGTGCAACAAGTCTAATTCAATTCCAACTCATTTCAACTTCAACTCTAGTTCAATTATAGTTAAATTCAAAGTTCAATTCGATTTCATATCCACTTCAACTCTAATTCAATTGAATTTACATGTTGTTCAAATTCAATTCACATTTCAATTCTGATTTGAATACTAACTCAATTCAAATTTCAATTCTGATTTACATACTAATTCCCTTTATGTTGCTATTTATTTTAATAAGGGTTCATTTCATTTCAAATTTAAGTTCTCCCTTCTCCCTTAATTTTTACATTCGCTTGAGTAAGGGATCATTTCATGTGATATTTCATTATATGTCGTTTCTAATGTTCTTTCTTGGAACGTGGGATTAACTTTATTTAGGTAAACATGGGTAGTTAGACCAAACTTTCAAGATTTTCCACTGCCGTTTATGAATCAAAGGTCAACATGATCATTATGCGAGTTTCCAAGACCAAAAACGACACGACCTATACCTATATACTTCAAAGTTCTCCAGGAGCCCAGCGAGAGCACCATGATCCGATCCGATTTTCTTGCGTTCCCACCACGTGCACGCCTCCGTAGGCGCCCTGAGCGATGGAGATGTTTGGCTGGACGACCTACACCAAAAATCCCTGATGGACCAGACCTGCAGCTTCCCTTCTCGACCTTCCAAATCGACGCAGGGACGATTGGAGCAAGCGAAGTGGCGTCCAGGCCCGTCGTCCCAAAGGTGCACTTCGTGCCTCCTAAGAGTCCACTGAGCCCGACAGCACCAAGCTTTGGGGGCTCAACATGTCATAAGATGCTATGATGGTCCAAATGGCCGAAGAAGAACACGCTGGGACAAACAAACGGAGCTTGTCACGTTTGGCAAAAAATCACTCTGCCCTGCCCCCCCCCCGCCCCTCCGCGGCCCCCCGTGAAACGCCTGACGAAACTCATGCCACAGTCACATCTGGATGCAGGTTGGTTCAAACAAAAAGAAACACCATGCAGTTTGCCCATTGAAAACGAGGTTCACACTTAGAGCCATGAGACAAAGCTCAACAAAACTCAAACTCCAAATACTCCTCGATGCCTCAATCACATACTGTATCACTTGTATATCACCCCACCCACACACAAGATTCCTGTGACAAAGACAAGATCCCTGTCGACCAGCCGAGATCATCCGTTGAATATATCGGTGAAATGTTGTTTGTTGATTTTAATTTGCAAACAAACCAAGCACCAAAGATATTTCACGCAAACCTCAGATGAATCTCAACCCCAAACACAACTGATGGAACTAGAATATATATATATATATAATATTTACTTATTTAAATATATATATATATACATACCTACGTATACATTCACCCTCAAGCATCTTGTAGGTAAATGTGACAGTCCCATCAGTCGTTTCTGGATGTTTCTGGGAACATGAATGTTTTTCAACTTCGAAGAACAGAACAAATGAAGATGCGGATCATATTCTGAGCAACCTGTGTAGTCGGAGATTTTGCCAAGGATTTCACCAAAGGTTATGAAGCAAACTGAGAGGTGAAAAGTGAAATCATCTCCTTTCAAGCAGATTTTAGGGGTTTTTGTCCCCACCCCAAGTCCTGCCTCTATTGCTCGTCGACGCCTGGCAACGGTTCTTCGATCGGCGGTCCGGCGGTCCTGCTCGCTCCGTCGACCGGTGACGTATCTTCGACCCCAAAAAATCCACCACCATCGAACCAAAACGAAGCTGGGGTGGGCCAGGAGCCCGACACGAAATGGTGACATCACCTGACGGATACGTGCGCACGAGTGTGGTCATCCCCGCGGCATTCGAGGTGACTGACCGACTGCAGTCTGCGACGGTGTTGCGATGGTGTTTCGAAAATATGTCTACTAACAGTTACTAACAGTTTGTTGGGCCAGCGGCTTCAACATGAACAACAAGCTGCAGCTACTGCAGGTACTTCACCAAACTGCAGCTACCCATTGACAAACATGAACAACAAGCTGCAGCCATTTCACCCACTTAAATGATCCATCCTTGGAGATCCATCCAGCTGTGTCCATTGATCTCTCTGGATAGACGACAGTTCGGCCAAATCTCGCAGTGTGGGGCGTATCAGTGCGGACTCCAAATCAGGAAATCGCTTGAAGAAAACCAACTAATACATACCCTACTGTCAAAAAAAACACAATAAAACCTGGTCCTTTACCTCCTTGAGGAGTGTTTTAATTTGACCAACTCCAGTATTCCATGAGGTCAAACTGACTTGTAGGGATAATACAGGTTACATAAATCATAGGGTGGCATAGAGTGGCTAGATGTGGCTAGCACACTCCAGTTGGACCACTCTAGCACTCTACCAACGCACGTCACTCGCGTGACCATCACGCACACAGCTAGTCTAGATGAACATCGAGTGGTTGTGGGTGAAATAGGCTCTTGTGGCTGCCTTAACAACTTGTTCCTGCCATTTGCCTTTGGGCCATACAAGTTTAGATGAACATGATAGTAGCATAACTACCACTTTGTTCTGTGTGAATATATTGTATGCATGAGAGCCACATGAAAGATCTTGTGTTTGCATGGCACCTTGGATGATTCCACTCACTCTTCGCGCTGAAAAATCTCGCTCTTGATGGGCCTTTCTGGCCTAGGTCTGCGGAAGTTTTGGTTTGAAGAAACTTCGAACAGATTTGAACAATCAGTAGCAGAAATATTCCAACCTTGCCATTCAGTACCGAAGCAATATAAATTCAACCTTGATTGGTTAGCTTATATGGGGGTTGTTCTTTATTCAGTTGCAGGGCATAAGGCTGAAAAGCCCTTTCGCTCGCCCTTGCGCCTTCTTGCGCCTATGAGGGTTTTTGCATGTTTTGACTGTTCTATTTGTTTTAGTATTAGCAAGAAAACGTGGCGTGCCCGACCTGGAAATGAGAAAAGTAGTAGTAGTAGTAGTAGTAGCAGCAGTAGCAGTAGTAGTAGTAGTATATATTATATATGTACTATATATTGAAGCACTAAATGCTATACAAAAGGGCTCCCCTGTTTAGGGTGTCTACGAAAGCCTCTTATATGGAGGGTATTCTCATGTCCATTGACCCCTTGAATGACGACAAGTAGAAGCATCACTTTCGGAAAAAAGGCTCCAACCACCAGCTTGTGAGGAGATGGGACAGGAGCCCAAACGAGAATAAAGATAAAACACAAAACAGGCCAGCACCGACCTTCAACAAAATGAGAACCAATGGACGTCAGGTAACCCCATCAACGCGAGGCCGCCCTGTGAGACTGTAAATATGGCCGCCCCATGTGCTCCTAGTAGTAATGCCCTTGTTACTAATTAGTAGCGACGCCCTTTGCTCCTAGTAGCGTCCTTGCTCCTAGTAGCAACGCCAGGAGCCCCTAGTAGCGTCCTTGCTCCTAGTAGCGAGGCCAGGAGCCCCTAGTAGCTTCCTGGTGTTTTTTGGTGGTTTTCACATAGTCCTTCCTCTCCAACCCTAGGTTCTGGGCGCTTTGGCTTTACCTTAGAACCACAAGAGGTTTTCTTTAATTTCCTTATGTACTTCCACAACTCCAACTTGCGACAACCTACGAAACCGGGGCCCCATCAGCTTGCTGCACAGAAGACCTAAGGAACGGTGGGAGAACCTGAAGCTAGTCTCAGTACGTACCTCAGATTAGCTGGTGTCGTAGCGTCCTAGCGTCGCTGTGTTTTCTTCGGGACATGTCCCATTTTTCGTTCACGAATGGATGTCGCTCGGGTCCAGGTCGACGCACTCTGCCACAGGCCGCCTGGGCCAGTCGAACACGTCTGTGGCCACGTCCTGATGGATCTGGCGATCGATGCCGTGGATGTACTGAGATGTCTGACATCGACTGTCATCACATCGGTCGACACATTTGGTCGTCACAATCAAAACCTTCCAAACCGAAATAGTCTTCCCTTGAAGCTTAAGAAGTTTTAGACGTGTTGCAGCGGCCATAGACAAAGACCGCTTCACTTGTTGATAAGGAAAGCTAGGAAATTAGGCCACCCAAGCACCAAGGACTTGCATGGTTCTTGTCCAGGACTCTTTGCATACCACAACCTACAAGTGTTTGCATGCCACCATGTATAGGTCCCTAGGTGCCAATCTATCGACTTGGTTTGAAGAAAGGAAAGTGAACAGAATTCTTACCAAATGCAAAGTCAACATGGACCCATTACTGCCCACTGCCCACGCACGTGCTGCTTGGTCGATCCATTTCTGCCTTTACGAGTCATGAGAGGTGAATCACCCGCCTTCTGAAGCACCAAAGCCGATGCAGAAGTGCCAAGTTCGGCATATCTGTTGTATTGTACTCTTGTGCTGAAAGAGTGGCGAAATGGACCAATCTAGACACAGGACCAATGGGCTTCTTTGGTCTTCGTGGTCTTTCAATAAGTCTTTGCCTCTGTCGTTTCTTACTAAAGCATGGGGTGAAACGATGGATGTCTCACCCCTCCAAACTCGCAAGCATGGTCGCCCTTGGGCATCCCTTCTTTCAGAATTCTGCTGGACCGGATCCATGAACTTCGTCAATAATAGACCCATTTCGGCTTAAAAGCACATCCGAAGGTAGGGAGAGGCCATGGGACAAACCCCCCCTCCTCAGGTTGTGGGTGTGGGCTTTTCACCTGGGCCTGTCGCTACCCAACTCGGACCTGGTCCAGAAACCGAATCCGGAACCAAAATCCATCACCCTCTCCATGTATAGACTCTTGACTAATAAACCCTCTCCATTCAACAGGGGTGGGTTTAATCAAGTCTACAAAACTCCCACCCCCCGCCTGGTTGAGATGGCCACTGAGGTGCCTTAACCTGGAACCGCCCAAGACCAGGCACGGGGGAGGTATGTGCAGGTGGAGGTGCCGACCGGACACAGAGGTACGGACCGATTTTGTCCCAACAATAAGCATACCCAGACCCTGGACCCTCATATGGAGGGGTCGGACCCTCATATGGAGGGGTCTGGGGTCTCAAATCCCTAGGTTTTGAGGCACCAGTCGGGCTGTTTGGAGCGTCTGGGTATAACCAAAAAAAAAAGGTTCGGTAACGTCGTAGCCAGCTAAACTGAGGTACTTTCCCAGGTCGACTGAGGTACTGTCGTATTCTTTATATCAACACATCGAACTTGGTCTCATAGATGGCCCTTTGAAAGAGTGTCAAATCCTCCACAACTACAGTGTTGTCCCAAGCCAAACATGGTTAGGAACTCCTTTTGAATCAGAACGGCAGGCCCTGGAAGTGCACTTTACCGCTATGTTCAGTGATCTGGAGGTGCATGTTTTTAGTACATTTCAATGATCTACTGAGATTAATTCACAGCACCAGTACTGCCAAGGACATCTCAACTGCTGTACTCTGAACAAATACATAGGACTTTAAACACAAAAACAACAAAAAAAATCATAGGAGACTCTTTGGGGAGTAAACAAAAAAAACAATCCTGACAGAGTCTTTGGACACCCCCCCCCAGCCCAAGACCTCCCAGCAATTGTGTTTGTTGTTTTTGTTTTTTTTGGTTTACTCACTCCCCAAAGAGTCTCCTAGGATTGTGTTTTTTGTTTTTGGTTTTTGGACACCCACCCCAAGACAAGACTTCTGAAGAGTTGGTTATTTTTGTTTCTCTATTTTGTGTTTTGGCATCTCTAGCTTTTGCATCACATTCATCATGTTTTATTACAAATAGAGCACCTTGTAGCAATTCTGAATTCTCATTATTCTTCTCTTTCACTAATAACCATTGGTTGATTAACATTAATGTGTTCAATGATATCATATTTGATTCTTTGATATTACCCAATTGTTCTATAGATTTATCCATACAATCCTCACCCCTATACATGTGAACCTCAGAACCGTCCGAGATACACGATCAGGAGCCGTTTTTACAGCCCTTTTGGAGCGCTGAGGATCCCATCTCACTCAAGTGAAGCTGGTTGGGGTGGGTCCCAGGGGGGGCCAAGCACCTTCTGAACCCAGTGAGACGGGTGGCCAGAGCGGGTCGGACATATAAATGAGACGTGATTCCTCTGGCCAGAAAGATAAAGGCTGTGAAGTGCGTCTGTTCATCGTTGCAAGGACGCTAAAGGCAGTATGGGACCCGTTAACCACACTGTGTTATTTCAATGTTGCATGGGTAAGTATCCCAGAGGATCCAGTTGACACGGTCATGGGTTCGTTGGTCTTGTAGAAAGTTGTTTGGATGCTGCGTTGAGCTGGAAGGTTAGACGCAAGATTGCAATTTAAGCTCTGGAGTATAATCCTAATCCTATCTCTTTTTGGATCCAACAAATGCTCCCGCCACCCCAAAAAAACATATCACACACATCATGTTGTTCCATCTGTGCCAATGCAATGTTCCCAAACTGGCAGCAATGTTCGAAAGAACACACACATCGAATCATGATCATATATATCATACAAATCCACCAAAAAATTACCAAAAATTGGATGGTTGTGTTCACTTGTTTTCTTGTGGTTTCTCGTGTGTTCTTCTTTTCTTCGCACCTCAACTCCACCTCGGTCACCACCAAGGTCAAGTCTTCCTCCAAGTCCATGACCTCAGCGGGAAATGGAGTACACTGCCGCCCCTTTAGAGCAAAAATTCACCCGAAACCACTGTCCCAGTCCGAGACAAAAAGAAATAAAGAAAAACAATCAACACAAATCAACAACAACAACAACAGCAACAACAACAACAACAATGACAACAACGCGGCTCTTCTTGTTGTGGGAGAATTTCATTCAGCTCTAATGCCGCCGTTGGGGAAGCCGATCCCAGGTATACAATCCCTGAAAGAATCGGCAAGCGACGGTGAACATCACAAGCGGCCAGTCGACCCAGAAATCCAAGGACCAGTCGTACCAGTGGTGAACCCCCCAGTCGATCCGGTCGTACCAAACCTCAGGTCATTGGAAACACTGTTCTTGGTGCCCGGGTCCAGTCGTACCGGTGCCCGGGTCGGTTTGGTACGACGAACCCAACAGAACCAGCTACTCAAAATTTCAGGGAGTGGACCTGGATTCTTCGAATGCAACACTCCCTGTATCCTAAGAAAGCACCTCCTGTATCCTCTCCTACAAAGGAACCAGCTACGCAGCGGAGCGCTGTATGAGCTGCCGAGCCTGGGAACTTCACGCTGTCCGGGATCCACACTGGGATAAATCGATGAAACTCTTCAAAGTCCCAAACTGATTACATGGGGGATCACCCAAAAGAATCTCTTTGGGGAGGATCCTAAGGGGTTCACACTTGTTCTCACCTTGGGGTTCTGCAGAACCTGAAAGTGAAGTCTGAAAGTCCAGTCTGGATCTCTACCTCTTAGATGGGTCTCTTAGATGTCTCTATATACCTCTATACCAAGACCCTCCGTGATTTCACGGTGTCGATTTGCTTTCGGTGATTCATGGTGTCCGTTCGCCGAACACCACCGGACGAACGGTTTCGGTCCTGGTAGTTTACATGATGTATCACAAACAAAAACGAAAGTACCAGGACATCCTAAGGGGTGTCTATTGATAGCCCCTTAGAGGTTAAGGGGTGTCCATTAACCACCCCGACAGTGGGTCCTAGTAGAGTTTTGTGTTTTAAACCTCATGAACCTCTTGAAGCCCTCAAAAACCACTCTTATACCCCGAAAAAGTGACTCCCGGTGAAACAGGGCTCGGACACCGGGGACTCGCGGGCGGTGAACGAACATGGCGACCGACCCTCCGACCGAAGCCGAAGAGCTCTTTGGTCCAAGGCCTGCCGAGTCGTAGTCGTGAAGGTAGGAGACTGGATGGATAGCGTCTGGAAGATGTTTAGGGACCTCCAAATGTCAGTTTCATGTATGGTTCACATGTAGAGATTCTTGATGAATCGCCCCTTCATCTCCGCCCCTGGAGGGGGGTTCTTCATCAAGAGATATCAAGAGTCTACACAAAGGCTACGGCGCTCTGTTCTTCTCGAGTCACACTGTCACACTTCCGGCCTCGGGAGTCCCAAACACAGTTGAATGTTGAGGCCTTCGGGCCTTCAGGAGGGACATGTATCTGGTCCTAAAGCTTATATGTAATAAAAGGATGGACGTCAACCTCGAATAAAAAAGAAAGACACACAAAAATGATATGATGTATGTTCTGTAGTTCCTTGAACACGCTCCAATGAAACACGTCCAATCAGTGGAACACGATGCACTTCTTACCACCGGCCGTGTCGAGTTGAATGAAACCGTCTGTCCGCCAGTGATGTTGTGGAAAAGGAGACCGTTGGATGTGTGGCGGATGAGAACGGTGATGGCAGTTGCCTCCCAAACACAACGTAACTACCAGCAGTTCCAGGTAGTCGGGTTCGGTTTGGGGTGCTATCCATGGAGGTAGTCGGGGGTGCCCCGAATTCACCTCCACTCGCAGGACGAGCCACAGCACCCCTTTGTGACTCCTGGTGCACAACATGACGGTGTTGATTCAAAAGGTTGGCAATCAAAGGCCAGTTCCCATCTTGATACAGTGATGTCTTTTTTTGATGCCCTGTGGATCCACTGGCTCCCTCGGAGAAGCTGATTGGACACTCTTTTATGTAGGTGCCAGGAGGGTCCAGTAATGCTAAACCTGAGAAGATATGTATATCCATTTAAAAATAACTGCTTACACCCCTTTTTCGCTTGGTGGTGAGCATCTCACAGCAGCTTCGTTGACCCAGATGTGCTTGGACTTTTTGTTTTTCAGGATGGAAACCGCCATCCTGGCCATCAGTGTTCACATGTGTTCACTGAGCTCTTTAGATCTAGACTTTGTGCAAGTCGACTTTGTGTCTGCCCGGGGAGCCCTAGCTCCCATCTCAGGTGCTTAGACCCCCGAAACCGAGGTGCGAAACGAGCATCGAAGGAGCGAAGAGATCCACTTCGACCACCGAGACTCGTCGAAAAGCCGCCTTCTCCAGCTCGAAGCCTCGTGGCTCAGCCTGCGAGGCTGACAGCACGCGTCATCGGGATGTTCATGGGATGGGATAGGATATACGCTTAGACAAAAATATATATTTTTTTGATATAGAATCCTAGAGACTAATATACTATATATATATATATAAAGATTTGTTTTTAACTATGCAACACACGTCTACCTTTCTTTGGCCGGTTTTATAGTGTTGCACAGTTGGAAGATCCAGGTATAGGAGATATACCCATAGGATACCCAGAACGGTTCGCAATAGAAACTTACACCCATGGAAAGAAAAAAGTCATCCTGGGTACGAGGGAGCAACCTGTTGGAGGCGCTGCGAACCTGTTGGAGGCACTGTCCCATGTCAATGAGGTCATGTGCAAAGCTGTTGGTGAACTTCCGTGTCCTCGTTCTGTCTCATTCCACCAAAACCTCTTCCAAATCGCAAACGCGACGCACCTGGATCTGACGCAGCTGCGAAGCAGCAGCCATGAGGTCTTGATTCAGCTCCAAAACCGCCTCTTCCACCACCTGGCCGAACTCCAGTCAGTGCCGACGATGCTTTTGCCAAGCTCGACAAACACCCTCTTTCTCCAGGAATGTGCCATGATTTGAGGGGGTGTTAGTCGAAATTATGATGTGGGTATTGGATGGATTTGGGTCAAACGTCAAAAGCACGACTAACTTTTGTATAACCAGCACTTGATTTGTCTCGTGTGGCGTCCCCGCTTCCCAAGAACTCTATTGGGCACTCTGCTCTAAAGCAAACTGCCTTTAAACAATCATATACAGTAGCAGCACCACTAATTGTGTATGTTCCATCAAATAACCACCCAACCTGGGTGGTGCCGGTCACAGGTTCTGTGGTTCGTCGTGGTTCGGCCAAAAATTCCATCTCGCTGCGCCACTCGCTGCTTCAATCAGCTCTCCAAAGTCTTTGGGGAGTGTAATAGATGTCGACATATACCAGGAGTTGACCTGTGAAGGTACCTATAGGACCTATACCCGCTATCGCGGTATTACGGACCGGTTTTCTCCACATGTCCCGGTTCTCGCGGGTCCGGCGGGTCCGGCCGGTCCGGACGAAGGTGGTTGGCCACCAGTCCCCAGTCCGGTCCAACTCGTCCGAAGGGAGTGGAACGAGACGGTGTCCGGAAAATTCCGGGATGTCCAGTCGACAGTCAGTGTTTAAACATGGTTGATCTGTTTTTTTGCAGTGTAAAATCCTTAGTAAAACCATGGATTTTGAAAGGTAAAGGGCGATTGAAATGGTACTAAATCATCCCAAATCTCCAAATGGTTTGCATTGAATGCTTCATCTTTGGGACGCCTGAGATATCGCTCTCCCTTCCTTCAGCGCCTGTAGACGGGCTTCCACTGAGGCAGCAACTTTGGCCTGGCGTTTTTGGGATGTTTGCCAGCAACAGGGTGGGTGGAGGTTCCAGGGTAACTTCTGGCTCAACTTGATGTTTCTCTTAAACTCCCAACTATCAAACATTCTGGAGGCTGTGTTGCTTCTTGCAGGTCACTTCCCTGCTCTTAAGTCACAATTTGCACACGTTGACCTGTCTTGCGATTAGGTTCTTCTACCTGGAGTCTCAAAGTACCTCAGAGAATGGGTACACGTACCTTTTCTATAGGGTCATGTCTGTCCCATTTTCTAGGGTACTTTGGACGGTTCAGGAGCTCAGGTTCATGTGAGTTGGCGAAGGCCCGCGATGCGGTGACGCTGCCCCGTCGCGCAACGTCCTACGCGTTTCTGCATTGGCAGGAGAGGTGAAGCACCGGGTTTGGCAGACTGTTGCTCGGGTCATCTCTGAAGATTCTGAAGCCCCTCAAAAACATGCTGATGGTTGTGCACGTTTACCACCAAATTGCTGGGTTATGGACTCTGAAACAAAAAACTAGGGTTCTACTGAGCTGGATGCCAATTGCAACTCATTTCTTGTTGCTCGACAGCTGTCTGTGATTCTTATATTATGTAGCTGGAACCTAAGTGGCCTTTGGTTTGGAGAACCAACCACTCAAAAATATAATAGTTCCATATGTGTCCATTATTTTCCTATCAAAACAGGGGTCCAACGCCTTGTAGGTATGTGTATATATGGGGACGGATCGGTGCCAAATTCCAAGCCTCCAGGGAGAAACGTGCCTCGTCCCCTTGGTGGCCGAAGCTGTGCCAAATGCCGCTCTACGTGTGTGGGGCTGTGGGTGGCAAGGTTGGGACTAAACATCTCGCGCGCCAAAGCTACTAGTAGCGTCTTTGCTCCTAGTAGTACGGCCAGGAGCCCGTAGTAGCGTCCTCCTAGTAGCGATGCCAGGAGCGCCGTTCGTAGCGTCCTTGCAAATCAAACCAGTACCAGTACCACCCAGTTGGGTTGGAAAATACATAGTCAAGGGTCAGGGGGAAGACAAAAACACCCAAACTGCGTGGTGGTGCTGCAATGTAGTCAATAGTTCTGCCCAAAAGTACCACCTGGAATCACCAGGAAATATCATGGATTTTCCCAGTGTTTTCGTGGTGCCAGGTCTTCCATAAGTGCGTATGAGCGCGTCAAGCTTTGTGGCTGACCCCACTACGTTTAAATTGACTTATTGTCGGTGTGAGAACTGTGCTGTGCCAGTATGTTTTGCTGGCGAGGCTCATGTTGGTCACCAGGTCTGCTTTGCTGAGGTAGTTGGTGACGACTAGCTTGTGCCATCCTCCCTTCCAGTACTGTAGGCGCTTTCCATGGTCAGTCCTAGTAGTGTAAAGGCCGCTTTGTGGAGAAGCGCGTGTATAGGCGTATCTTTCAAATCTATTGTGTGCTTCCTAATCGGTGAAAGTCAACAGAGTGACAGGTGACAGTGTGAACTTCTTGGCTGTGTAGTAGCCGTGTTCTTGCTTTGTGTGACCGCAAACTTGCGCCTTGTATGGAAGCCAATCTGTGATCCTTGCCCTGTCGTAGTAAGACGCCTGTGTCGGCCACGATCTAGAATCATTTTGAATTTGCTCTCTTTAAGCTCATGTTCCAGCACCAGCTCATGTGTGAAATCTTACATACTGCGCAAATCGTCAATCTTGTCACCGTGCCTCTCCGCTATGGCAGTCAACTTTTGAATTTGCTGTGCCATCGTTGCGTGCTGGGCGTGCTGGTTTGTTCTGAGGAGCAAACGCGCCGGTGGATCTAACTGCAAATCATGCTGCAGTTGTAGGCTCGGTCGTAGGCTCAACGGTCTGGAGCTGTCTCGGTCTCGGTCTACTTTTTTCACTCTGTGCGGTGTAGCTGCAATTTGATATAGAGCTTGTGCTGCGACGTGATGTTGGCTTTGGTTCCCTAGATTTGTCTGCTGCTCACTGTTGTCTTGTTTACTGATTAATCCCGAGTACCTATTAAAAAACGGACCCCTATTTAAAAAAAAGTCATGCCGGATCCCCCTAAATACGGTTTATATTTGTTTTTAAATTACCGCCCTTTCAAGCCGCTACTAATCTACCAACATTGCCGACTTTGGAGGAGTTTTTTTAATTAGGTTCCAAAAACAACCGTAACTGCCCACCTCTGTCCGCCCTGTCTATCCACCATGACACGCCGCGCTTACACCAGCAGGCTTTCCTTCCCCCAATGGCACGGACTCACGCAAACGCACTTGCCACCGAGGTCATGCAACACCGCATGGCACAGCGACATCACCTTTCGAAAGCTTTAGCTGTTAGTCTACTGAAGAATCACTATTCTAATGAAGGTTTTTGTAGGGGAAAAGGAAGACCCTTCGATCTGGAGCTTTTTTGCATTTTTGATACGAGTTTAATAAAGGATTTTATATAAAACTTTACTGATTTACTTTTTGGTTTTGAAGCTCTTCCCAGGTGACCCTATTTTGGGCCCCCCGATTTCAGGGACCCCCTATTAGAAAAAATGCGACCGAGGTTTCCTTATTAGGGGGGGGGGGTACGTGTTTTTTATTAGGTGGACCGGATTACTGGTTGTGATGTCTGTGTCTTTGCCTCCATCCTCAAAATCAATAGCTCTTCTTTGTGCTCGTTTCCCTTTCTTCGTCTTTCTCATCCATGTTCGCCTTGCCTGTCTCTGTCTCAGCTTCTTCTTTCCCCTCTTCCTTCTCTTTCCTCTGATCTGATGTTCTGGAGCCGGAGAGGTGTCCAGCCCTGGAGCCACAGCAATCCGTGACCCGTTTTGAGCTCGCTCGCGAGAGGAGGCCGTGAGAGCTGCGAAAAAACGTGAGGCGATAGGAGCGAGCTCCAGGTGTGCCTGGTGTGCCTGGTGCTTGTGCCTGGGGCTTACGGTTTTCTTGCGTTTTTTTCACCTCATTCGTTGGTCTCAACAATCTGCTGCCTCTTCAGGCCGCGGAGGAGATGTGGCAAGCACGTCCACAGCAGCTGCCAGAATGGAGGTGCTGGCAGTGACAGTGATGATAATGTTTGCCAACACGCGAAACAAGAATGAAGCCTGCACATTGCGCAAGTCGTCATTGGGCAGAATATCGGCAGGTGGAGAAATTCTGCCGGTAAGATAGAGGCCGGTTTTCTGATGTGTGGGAGACCAGTTGCCAAAGGGAAGAAGACGTGTTCAAGAAAACCATTTGATAAACCATCGCCTCCCAGGGCGATCACGGCACTCGAAGATGCTGGGGAGCCGGGAGGTCGCGACAACATTCGCCCAGAGCGGCGTAGTTCGACTAAGTGCCCCGGTCCGTCTCCGTGATTCCCCACCTGAATCTGTAAAGATGGATTTCAAGAGGTGATTTCTTAGACCCTCAATAAGTGGACCCTGACAAAACACCCCCAAACGACAGCCCTCCAATCAGCACTCCGAGATGGATCTCGGGGAAAATCTGTTGATGATTGATGCTGATGTTTCATGACGATGGATCTTACTTATTTAACTGGGGAGATCCTCCCAAAGACCTTTTGGAAGAATGATCAAAACCCTCCAAAACCCTCCAAACCCCGCTTCGAGATCTCCCTCTTTCGCCCGGACAACCCCGGACAACCCCCCCCATCTTTGCTCTTGATTGCTGGTGTGCATCTAGCGCCTTTTTCCCCCTCCAACCTCACTCACCGGTCCGTCACCGGTCCGCTTTTGGAGCTCAGCGGCGCGCGCGACGTGAGGCGCTCGGATCCACCCGTTCGGAACGCTCTGCCTGGACCTGCGCCGCGGAAGAGCGCCGGTGGTCACCGGTCCGTTCAGATCAGTGAAGGGACGGGGGTGCAACATGTGTGACTTCCCAGCCATGGGTTGGGAAAGGACTGCAGGGGTTTCTGGATGTTTCTATACTCAGACACGATAAATGTATGGATATGTGTGGCGGACTGCCACCCCAGTAGAAACCCCAGGTCAACCACCCGAACTGATCGGCCAATATGCCAGTCCCATGGGTGGTGTATGGGATAGGGGTCATATGGAAGATACTGGTGACCCAAGGCCCCAGCGTAGGACCAGCGGAGCAACTCAGGGAAGTCCTGGATCCGGAGCCGTACCAAGTAGAAACCTCAATATACCCCAATTCTAGGGCTCCTGTCCCACATCCGACGGTTCTCCTAGGCCAGAAGCCCCCCCAACCACCGAACTTGAGGATGTGGTTGGAGCCCTAGGGACGAAGAAGTCGCGTGCATCTCGTGCAGCCGTTCCCACGACCTTTCGCTGGCTGCAGTTCGACCGACTGACCGGCTTGGGCTGGTTCGGGGCCCGAGGAGTGCCCTCACTCAATGCTGCGGATCCACTCAAGAGCTTTAGGGTGCAGATCCACTCAAAAGCACCGAGATCCACTCAATGCTGGTGTCAATGAGCATGGAATTCACCACCCTAAAGAAGACATGGGAAGACTATCGGACTGATCCACGGCGGTCGGTTCAGGTGGTCGCTCTCTACAACCATTCCCACCAACTCCGCAGCCACGAGTAGGACTGGAACCAGGAGCCCGGATTCTGTTCGGTCTTATGGTTTGATCACGCTTGGAACCACTGGTTGCCGGCGAACTAGTGATATCTAGATCCACTGGGATTTCTGTTCCCCTCGAGTGGTTGATGTGGAATAAGAACGATCACAAGATGGTGGGCTCCTTTCTTCAGCAACACTGCGGATGTATGCCTGAGGTTGCATCCGGTATGCTCAGGGAAACTTGGAGGGATCATAAACAAGTGGTGATTTGAGCGACTGGATTCTTCAAATTGTGAAATTCCGACCGAAATTGATAGGTATCGTTGAACGGATGTTTCAATTAGCAAATACACTTCTCAAATGTTGAAGAAACCAAAATACACACAGCCTCTGGGACCCTCCTGACCAGTAACTGGGATGCATTGGCTCCTGGTTGCTACAGGGCATCCCTTGGATATATTACCAGGGCCCAGTGGATGGTAGGAAAAAGTGATCACAAAAAATAAACTGTTCCTAGATGTTCTGGTATTGGGACGTAATATCATCCCAACAAGTAGGTTATATAATTACCTTAGATGTTCCCCTGTCACCCCTCGTTTTTGTAGATACAGTATAGGGGGTAGTACTGGGATGCTTTCTGGAACACACCCCCAGACCATTTTCCCATCACACATCACAATTCCTCTCAGTCCGATGCAAAGGTTTTTCAGCCACTCATGGTCACTCAATTGTCACTCGTGACACCCCCAAAGTCTCCGTCTCAGGTTTTTTGGCCACGCTCTTTCTGGTTCACGGCCTCTTCTGGGTTTGTTGAAGGACCTCAACCTCTAGTGGCCCAGAATTGGAATTACAATCTACAGTCTGTACAGTGGTGATGATCCCCACGTGTTTTGAAGAAGTGAAAGAAGAACAATGTCTCTGAACAATTTCAGCGTCACACATGTTTTGAAGACCAAAAAGAAAATGAAACCAACCATTGTTGCCGACATCGATCACGGAAAGTGCTGGCCATCGGCGAGGTCCATCACCCTACTTGAAACGAAGCGACATCCAGCGAACGGCCGCTCATAGGGTTGATCAGCTGGTATAGAGTATCTGACTTTCGAGCCCTTTCCCAGGAAAAAATGAAGGTTAACCTACCCACTGACTGGGTCATGTAATGTGACTCTTGATATAGTAAAACCCCCAGTGTGACAGGGGTCTGAAAGACAAGGGGCCCTGTTATGACAGACCGGATCTGAGTGGTTTTAGTATTAAGGAGTCTACATGGCTGTGTGTTCTCATGGCACCCGACTCAGGACTCACCCTGGTAGGTTGACCTCCTTGGTGGACCGGGGGTCCCTCATGCTGTGACCGGGTCCACGGTCTCCCACCGAGGGATCTCCACAAAAATCCCATGGGGGTTCCCTTGGATGGACGACGCTGATGGCACTCGGAACGGAATGACCCTGAAATCAAGGCGAAATAGTTAACAGGGTGATGTTCAACACAGTGATGTTCACTCACTCTCCGAGTTCGAAGATGATTTCAGGCAGCTGCGAGTCACATGAGTGCGTGAATATCCGCCCAACCGTCCCTGGGAATCCGTGGCCCATTGAGGATCCCTAGGTGTTCTGCAGACATGTTTGTTTGTTCATGTTGTTCACAAGAGGAGCGACCACCTGTAAGTGGAGGGCTGACCCCCAGAGCTTCTGAGTATGGGGGTGTGTTTTTAGATCTCCAGAAGGAAGCATCCTTATAAGGTCCACATGTGAAGGTCAATCAACCCAATGAGTAGCTTGCCTGAATGTCATGTTATGTGACGCGATCTGCATGTCAAAACTGCAGCAGTGATCTTCGTGGTATTCAAATCGCAATAAGCTCTCAATCGAACAAAAAGGGAGCAAACGCCGAACACAAATGGCAGGCACAAGGTTGACCAGCTGAACTCTCCGTGGTTTGAACAAGCACCGCCAGGTCATTAATTGGATTCACACCATAAACTGTTGAATACCACAACTGTGGAGTAGATGAACCTGATTCGCTGAAGCCTGACCACTAACACGCACATACATGCACCACCAAATGTTGGGATTGTCCACTAAGTCACTTGGGCGGAATTCTTTCGCCCATTCTCTTTTGGGGGGAGGCGACTTTGATGTCGACGAATGGCACTTGGCCATCCATGTAACTCTGCCAGTCCCAAGCCCAGACGATGCACAATGGCGTATGGCTATGACCTACGTGAAAACCACCAATAGCCAATAACCACCAGTCATGGGGCGGCCATTATCAATGCGCCACCAGTCACAATTCGTCTAGGATCGATGGTCGTCAAGGACCTCTAAATCGGATCCTGAGTCTACGTAGTCCAACCCTGGGTAGGCTGGAAGAAACAACTGAAGGCATCTGAAGGCCAATGCTTGGAGGGTTTTGTTGAGTTCAAGAAACACCACCTACTACATATTATATAGAATTCCACGAGTTCCATGTTGCAGTGTGACACTTGGAGGGGTTGAAAAGGTGTGTCCCTGTCACATCCACGGCCCCTGGATGGGACAAAAACACAATTCTTTTGGAACTGCTGGTATGTTGATGCCCATCTCCTTAAAAGCACCAATACTCCCTGAAGAGGAGAGGGCTTTCGGTGCGGTAGGTATTGGAGCGGAGACAAAAAGTCCGTTTTATGTGCGTGCACCACTGAAGTACAGTGGTTTCAAGAGTAGATGGCGCAAAGCTCTTTAAACCACCAAACTTGCGGATTGTGCCATCCACTTTCCATCCATAACACTATAAGTATAGCTTCACGATCGAAACCGTTTCCATCACTGTGAGTGTCCCCTTTCGGCCGTTTGTAAGACTTTCACCTTGATCGGCTCTCGCATGCGAAAAAGAACATTCTCCGACAAGGATCCACTTGAAAAGTAATGTAAGTGCTCGTGCTCGTGGTTCTGAACCCGAAAGCATGATGTCGATCTATTGTTTATGAGCTCATCGATCTGAACACCAGCTTCTGGGCGGATGAACCCGAATGAACCCCAACGATGTCTCCACGTGCTCCACGTGCGGAATGGACCTCCGCGGAGGTCATGCGGGAGTCTCAAGCCATTGGCCGATGCACTAAGACCTGTTCCATTTTCTACCGACTGGAGGGTCTGGGTAGACTCGTAGACTGTTGACTATTGGAACGGCCTCTGGATGTATTTGGTTGATTCAAAAATACCACCAAGTCAACAATGTAGACTGCTGATGCATGCAAAAAGCAGTAGTATAGATGTAATAGACTGTTCTGGTCGGGATGGAGGTCTATCATCGGTTGACCAAGTGGGTTGACAGGAAACACATCGTGCGTGCAGCGGATCCCTGGAGCTCCACCTTCCGAGCTGTGCATCTATCGTGTTCTGTCATGAACGGCCCATTTTTCCAAGCGCTGCTTAGACGGCATGGATGCCGCATGGTGTTGCGATTCTCCACGGTATCATCAGAATCCCTCACATGTTGCTCTTCCCATTGGATCCCAGGTACTGATTATATAAGGAACCAGGGGCCCGTTCCGTTCGGTCGGTTTGGCCGTCTTCTGAAACCACGGGTTACCACCAAACATTCGTGGATTGTTTGGGATCCACTAAAGACCCACAGTTCACCTCCTGTTCGCAAAGGAAAGTCGTCTTAGCCTGATTTTCAACTGATGAGTTAGTTGGTCCACTTCCTTAGGTAGTCAGTCAGAGTCTATCTTTGCATGAACATCTCAAGGCGCCGTTTGCTTCAGCCCATCACGGCTGATCCCAGCCGACACACCGCGACATGCCGCGAGAAAATGCTGTGCAAAAAACCGCGTTCCGCATCATTCCGCGTTCGGTGGACTTGTTTTACTTCGGATATTCCGAGCAACTTCGAAAAACAAACATCACCTTACTCTGAAATGACATGGATCCTCCCAAGCACTTGCAAGTTACTTGCAAACCACTATGTGGTACCTGGACGGGAAATCGCAGAACACACCCAAAGGAAACCGCAAAGGCAGCATCTTCAACCCGCGGACCTGCCTCCTTCTAGGCGGAAGAAAAGTGTCACAGCTTGCTGTTTGGAAGCCGTTCAAAGCACATCGCCACTCCTGACAACGCAATAAGCATGGATGGAGGATTATGGGGGGTTTAGCAACTACGCAAATCAACAGATGGATTTGGGTCTGGTTCTTTAAGTAAAGGTTCTCTTTTTCTGCCTGCATGGTGTGGTATAGTGGGGAAACCAATCCTCCCAGCAAAAATTGTGTGAGGGTATGTAAGGGTT